CTACCAATATCGTTCTTGACGGGAAATTTTAGAGATCAATTATGAACGCAAGTTATTTTAAAACAAATAAAATTAAAAGGTGAGAGAAAAATAATACTCCAGTTTGTAATTGGTTGGGGTGTAATTGAATATAGTGGACTCGAATCTAGGTATATACTATTCTAAAAACAATATGGTCATATGGAAGATTGATATCTTCGGCAACTCCTTCATAATGCCCTTCTAGTAGAGTTACCTTGATCATAGAAACATCGACATACCCACTATATGCACTTTATGTGAACTCACACTAGAGCTGTCAATTCTGATACATGGGTCTTGTATGGGTGGGGTTTGTGTGGGTCGAGTTTAGGTTGGGTTCGTATGGGCCGGTTCAACTCGAGGCGGATCAGTTCGGGTAAATGTTGTAACCTATGCGGGTCTGGTTTTGGTTGGGTCATGCTTGAGTCGAGTTGTTGGGTCATTGTCTTATTGGATTTGGGTTGGGTTTAGGTCGGGTCAATAACAGGTCAGGTTACATTCAGGTTGGGTGAATAATAGGTTGGTCGGGTTTAATTCGGGTTTTAACGGGTTAAAATGAGTTAGGTTCGAGTCAAATTCGGTTCAAGTCAATAGTTTGCGGGTTATAATCAGGTCAAGTCATTTCCAAGTCGAGTCATGTTCGGGTTCAGGTCTCAAATATTGAGTTAATCTTGGTCTCAGGTTGATTTCAGGTCGAGTCATATCGGGTTCGGGTACATTTTTCGGGTCGGTTTGTTAACAGTTCAGGTATTGAAGTTCACGTTTAATCATTATATAATTTCAGATAAATTCATATTCGAGCGAGCTAATAAATTTAAACTACATCTTTTTTTTCACTTATTTTAAGATAAATAATTTTATATAATATAATCTTATATTCTTATTTGCGTGGTGAACATCATATTCATAGTAGATATAATTCAGAAAGGAGTATGTAACTATATAACGTAACTATATATTAATAAGGTGGTCTAGATTGAATTTAAGGTGATTTGAAATCTAGTCAGGTTAATAACAGGTTAGGCTGAGTTTGAAACGGGTCAGGAACAACATGTGAGGAATTTAGGGTCTGGTTGAATTCAAGTCGGATTAGTAACAGGTCAAGTTAAATTTGGATTTTGACTGGTTGAAACAGGTTTAGGTCAATCTCGGTTCAGGTCGGGTTTGGTTCGGGTCAATAATTTACGGGTTATATTCAGGTCGGGTCATCTCCAGGTCGGTTCATGTTCATGTTCGGGTTTGGGTCTCAAATACTCGTGTTAACTCAGGTCTAGGGTTGGTTTTAGGTCAGGTCATATCGGGTTCAGGTCACCATTTCTTCGAATTCAAATAGGTCAGTTAATATTTGGTTTGGGTATATTTTTTAAGTTTGTCAGCTTTTAGCAACTCTACTTAGAACTAAAGGTATAGACCATTTGTTTCTCTTCGTTAACTTTTGAAGGGATAATCATTCTACTACTACTATGTTTAGTTACCTTATTTTTACTTATTTCATATCACATCAGAATAAATAAGTTTAGATCAAATGAGGAAAATAAATGTTTAGATCAGATCTGATAAAAAAACTAAAAAGTCTGACACACTTTATCATTTTATGTGTGTTTTTTATCGCTCAATATCTTTAATTTCGTAATTAAAAATTATAAAAATTATATATAGCTTGCAAAATGAGGTATTTCCAATAACTTTTTTTTTCCAATTTTGCCTCAAATCAAACCCAAAGGGCCAAATGCCCCCAAAACATTGATAAAGCAAGTTTTGGCACAAATTTTTTTGAAATAGAAGTTTTTGTTAAGAGATAGTGAAATCTAACTTTATTTTTTATTTAAAGGGGTGATATTAAAAAAACAAAAGATAAAAAGGAAAGATAAAATTTTATATAATAATCCCACCTTTTGCAAGTCTTTTCAAAATAGTCTCATCTTTTAAAAATTTTGGAAAACTACACCTTTTAAAGTATCTTCTCAAAATGGTCCAAGTGACCTAAAACCTAAAGAACTGGTTTTTTTTTTTTAGCATTAAATCATCAAAAAAAATAAATTATAAATTTATTAAAAAAAAAACTATTTAATTTGTAGTACACGTATCTTGTGCAAATAATATTTTTTAATTGCATCGCCCATATATGTTACGTATGAAAAACTCTACGAAAAAGGGTTTGAGAACGCTACAAATGACATTTTTTCTATTAAATTAGTGACTTATTAATATTATGATTTTTTGTTTGGTGTTTAATGTTTTTGGGTTAATAAGTAATATATAAGTGTTACTTTTTTTTTTTTTTTTTTTTTTTTAAGAATTATCTAGATTATTTGTATTTTGTAAGAAGTATTTCTTATTTTTAAGATGTTACTTGCTGCTCTATTGTTGTTCATAAAGTTTTACTTAATTTATTAACTAGAAAAATGATTTCATAAAATTATTTTCATGTAACCTTAAAACTTCAATCTTATTAGCTAATTTTAATTTATTATTTATATTCAATTCACAAGGTATAACTAATTTAATTTTTACTTTCCACATTACATTCCTAAAGTATAACTAATCAAACCATTTCTTTTTCCGAATAGCATGGGTATCTCCATTCAATAATGGCAGTCCATACGTATGTGCTTCATACAGTAATTTATGTTGTTCCACCTTAGTTTGTACTTAATGAATTTTCTTAGCTATTGGTTCCCATTGTATATGGTTAAATAGACACTACTCTTGTTTCAAAGAGACCCCTAACTAGCTATTGCATACAGTATTTTTTATTGGTAACCAACTTGTTTGCATAGGGATGTGAACGCACATTTGTCATGTGTTTGTTTGATTGGTGGTTGTTGTATTCTCACATATTTACAAATTCTCATTGAAATTTATAATTAGACAAAATATCAAAATGCCTATGAGTTGATTTTTATGTATGTTGTAATAAGTGCTAATGCGCATACAACATTAATATATTATATATAGTTAGGTGAAATCTACACTTAACATAATAGCATAGCCACTGAAGAAATAAATTGGAAAAAAAAAAGCACAAGTAAAACAAACCTTGGAAAAGTTTATCAACTGCTATTTGTCGCTCCCAAATTACCAGGTAACGCTCCCTTTTTGACTTGAATGGACCACTATGCCCTTTATGAAATTTGGGTTATAAAAATGATCTTGTTCCCCATTTGGACACAATACATGAAACGGTCCCCTCACTTCACGACATTGCTGTCCCGAGCTTCCCAAAATCGGTCCCCACGACCTTGCAACCAAATCGGTCCCCACGACCACCTAAATTTTCTATTTTCAAAAATCGTTAAATTTTCCGACGGGTCTTGGGTCATGGACGGCGAGTGGAACATACGTACGCCAAAGAATGCGTCGGATCATTCTGTAAGTTTTTTTTTTATTTTCGGTAATTAGGACATCCGCCTAAAATTTCCGGATGTCCTAGGTACATCCGCCTAAAATTTCCGGATGTACCATGGAACATCCGGAAATTTCAAGCGGAAGATGGGATCCGCCTAAAAAATCCGGATGTTCCATGGTACATCCGGAAATTTCAGGCGGATGTACCTAGGGACATCCGGAAATTTTAGGCGGATGTCCCTATTAATTTTTTTTTTTAAATGTTAAGTACGTTTATTTAATTTTTTTTTATGTTTATTAAGTTTTTTTTTATGTATTTTTTTTTCGTGGTCTTGTGATTATTGTTGTGATTTAGTATTTGATAATTAATGTAATTTTGTTGTATTAATATGATTATGAGTAATATGTTTATTTTTTGTTTCATTATTATTATTATTATTATTATTATTATTATTTATATTATTATTATTATTATTATTATTATTATTGTTATTATTAGTAATATGTTGATATTATTGTTGTTGTTGCTGTTATTTTTATTGTTGTTGTTGTTGTTGTTGTTGTTGATATTGTTATTATTAATTAGTAGAAATATAATTTTAATATTAATATTATTATTATTATTATTATTATTATTGTTATTATTATTATTATTTATTTATTAATTAATGTTATGGTCTTATAAATTGTTTTGTACTGTTGTTATAATTTTTTATTATCATTAATATTGTTATTGTTTTGTATTTGTTGTTATTATTATTAGTATTGTTATTAGTATTGTTATTATTATTATTATTATTATTAGTAGTAGGAGTAGTAGTAGTATTGTTTTTATTATTTTTATTATTTTAATTATAATAATTATTATTATTATTGTTTTTATTATTATTATTTTGACATAAAGCATGTTTTGTTTAATTTGTATAGGATATGGAATCTGAGGAAGGCGGTGACGGTGTGAATTATAGTGGGAATTTTGTCACCGATACGTTTTTTTCCTACATTTGACGATGTTGTTACATGGGCTGATGGTGTTTCCATAAAATTGGGATTTATATTGGTGAAATCGTCTTATAACAAAACCAGAGATGGTCGGCCGTATCGGTATTTGCGATGTGATCGGTCACGAAGGAGCAAGCCGAGAGATTTGGAGAACGCAATACGGAAGGACACCAAAACCAAAGCTAATGGTTGTCCATTCTACATCAAGATATATTATGATGTCAGCACCGAAAGTTGGAAGATCATTGCGAAAAATGATCACACCGGGACACATAACTACCCAATGATTGTGTACCCAGAGGGTCACCGTAAAGTGAGCGGATTGAGTCCGGGTGCAAAACAGGTTGTGCGGGACATGACAAAGTCCAAGGTTGCTCCCCGTAACATCATGTCCACTATTGCCGAGCAATTTCCTGATGATCATCCAAACATCCGACACATTTACAATTGCCGAAATGACTTCAGGATGGAAATGTCCGAAGGAAGAGGAGTTGTTCAGCAATTTCTTCATCTGGCGAGAGAGAGTAAATACATTTACTGGTTCACGAACGATGATCATGGTCAACATACTCCGCACATACCCACATGTCATAGGTATGGATTCTACTTACAAGACCAATCGATATAACATGCCTTTCTTTGAGATAGTAGGCGTGACACCGACAAACCAGAATTTTCTAGTTGGATATTTTTTCATGCGCGACGAGTGCACGGCTAGCTATCGGTGGTTGTTGCAGAGATTAAGGGAGTTGATTGGGTTTGATAAAGAGCCATCTGTATTTATTTCAGACCGTGATCTTGGGCTATGTGCGGCTTTGAGAGAAGTCTTTCCAGGGACGTCACATTTACTCTGTCTATGGCACATCAACAGAGATGTGGAGGCTAAGGTGACAAAGATGTTTGGAAACAAGACGGTTGGTGTCAGTTTTAGAGCTGGGAGATGGTTCAAAATCGTGAATGCAACAACACAGGCGGAGTATGATCGTGCTCTAACTGCCATGCAAGTGAGGTGGGGAAAATATCTGGAAGTGATTCAGTATGTTCAGAGAACTTGGCTTTGTCATAAGGAGAAATTTGTGAAATTTTGGACGAACCAGGTTCTTCATTTTGGTAACACCACCAACTGCAGACTTGAGAGCCAACATTCAGCAGTGAAAACTTGGTTAGAATCATCCACAGGTCAGTTGTATTATTTTATTAGTTGTTCTCATTGTTACGTAATTGTAATTATAATTGTATTTGAATTTACTAATTAGAATCATTGGCAGGTGCTTTGGATACCGTATGGGCCCGAGTCCATTGTCATATCGGTAATCGCATCATACAAATTCGTAATGACTTGGAGGCATCAAGGTCTAAAATTGGTCAGATGTACAGACAGTTGCCACTGTCACGTATAAATGGCAAAGTGTCTCAACATTGCTTGAAAGTTCTAGATAACGAGACGAAAAGGATGCGGGATTTGAGTTACCAGGTCCATGAACGGTGTGGATGTGCTATGCGTCTGACCCATGGTCTTCCATGTGCTTGCCAGATACATGATTCGATAGTTGCACAGACAGGATTGTATAGCAGCCAAATTCATTCTTTCTGGAAGATACTGGTTATTGGTGATGGTGTTAACATTCCTGAAGTGGTAAATGATTCAACCAAGGAGGCTGCACATTTTCGGTCCCTAATCGACGAAGTCATGGAAAGTGACCCGGTCGTACGTCGAAATGTAACGCGAATCATTGAAGAGGAGCTACATCCAGATCATTCACACCTTGAAGAACCACATATCAACCTTAAAACTCGTGGTCGACCGAAAAGAAATAACACCAGGCGTGATCGTAGCTATTTCGAGCATGTGAACCGTCAACACACTCAACATGGCGGTGACCCAGAACCAGGTAATACTAAAATTCTATATTTAATATAAAAATATGTAAACTTAATACTTATAGCTTTACTAATAATTTATCTTTTAATTTTGTGTTGCAGATCTAAGTGACATTAGTCAATGCAGGTATTTGAACTTGCTTCCAACCCCAATGTTGTCGTACATTTCGTCTTGGAAGGATGTCATTGGTGATGGGAACTGTGGCTTTCGTTGTGTCGCCGACTTCTTCTTTGGCGATCAAAATAAGTGGTTTGACGCTCGGGAAACAATAGCGAACGAGGTCGCTGGTCATCCTGATTTGTACGAACGGATTTACGGGCTTGGGCGACTTTGGATGAACGTGGAGCGTATTCAATGGGATGGTGGGGCTGTCGGGGAGCGACATTGGATGGTTACAATTCAAGATTTATTTCCTATTGCTACGTGGTTCAACGCAAGGGTGATTTGTCTCGGAGTAGGCCTAGTACCAACTTGCTACTACCCATGCATCACAGTCTTACCGCTTAGGGCACGCAACGGGGTTCGGTTAACGACTCGAGAGTTTGTGATTGCTACAGTTGGTGGATCACATTTTATCCGTCTTGACCTTGTACCTGATTCACCACTCCCGCCGATCGCCGGTTGGTGGACGCAAAACCACGAGGATAGTGTCAATGGATGGGATCAAGCATATCAGTTGAGAAGGGACATGTGGGATGCATTAGTTAGGTAGTTTGTAATGTACATTTACTAACTTTGAACATTTGTAAGAAAATTAGAATTATGAAATTAATTTTAAATGTATTTGCTTTTAATCTAACATGATATGCAAAAAAACATCAAATATAAAATAAAATAAGTCTAATCAAAATAATCTAAAGTCCCATTTTTGACTTCCAATCAAATACAAGCTGCTTAGTCATTGTTCGAGTCTCACTCGACATTTCAGGATACTCAGCTAGTGCTCTTTGGTGAATCTCCATGGACCGACCCATCCACTGCAAATCAAACAATAACATATTTTAAACACAAAAATTCATATAAGTCATTGTTAATATAATAATAAGCATAAATACTTACGTAATCAGTGTTAGTCTGCTCAGGCAGGTTGCTTGTAACTCCTGCACCTGGAGATACCCGCGGGTGAGAAAACCTGTACAGCCACTGCATGTAACCGGGCGCAACCGAAGGAGCTGCAGCACTAAGCCTGGGGAGGGCACCTAAAACAACACTGTGAGATACCCCAGCGACAAACCTGTTCCACATCACAGCTGTCATCTCAGTCGGGAAGTCTACTCGATACATCTTCAAGTTAGTCGACCTCTTGGCCTTCTCTAGCCTGATGATCTCGCGGGGAATGCCTTGCACGAAACCAAGCTGGCACACCACTCTATCAGGCATGTACGGCTCAATGATGTTACGGTACTGGATGCAACCAATGAATAAAGTGGGGGGCACTCGTAATGCAGGATCAACTCCGTACGGTAGCCAGTTCACCTCACGGTCAGTAAGCGCATCAATCCTAGTGCGAAAAGCTAACAGGCGCTCCAGGTTCTTGCTAGGACATCCCGCTCCTACATCCCAAGCAGACGCACAAGGCATTTGAAGGTCCCGGGTCAAGGTACCCTGCTGTGGCCGAAAGCACGGAAAGTACTCGTAAATCCACGCTTGTAGAAGCGTGAGACAACCAGCAATCGAATCAGCACCTTTCCGTGATGCCGTGCCCAGCTGTCGATACAAGTAGGCCAGTGCAGCTGTTCCCCAAGCATACTCGTTAATAGGGACATCCGTGTGACATAGCTCGTGAAGGAAGGAAGGATGCGTACGGTTACCACTCTTGTCTACAAAGAGTGTACCTCTAAGCACTAACCACAAGTATGCATCAAGCTGCTCACTAAAATCCCGGTCGACCGCCAATGTCGACTCAAAAGATCCGAAATTAAAAAAAAAAAAAATACCTCGTCTCCACCATCGCCGCCGCCGCCGAAGGTCCTCCCTCCGAATCTCAGCCTAATCCGCCTCGAATCACCCATTTTCTTTTGTGTTTATGATGATTGTTGTTTTTAAAAAAATGAAGAACAATTTTTGAATTTTTAAAAAAAAAAAAAAATTGTTTTAGAGAGTTAGAGAGTAAGAGAGTTTGAGAGTAAGAGAGTTAGAGAGAGAAGTAAAGAAGTGAGAAATGTTGGTCGGGAAGGAAAAAACCGTATTTATATATTAGGGGTAAAATTGGAATTTCAAGAAAAAAAGGGAGCGTTACCCGGTAAAATGGGAGCGACAAATAACAACACCCTAAATAATATTAGGGGTGAAACAACGTGAAACAAAACACATGATTTGATAGCTATCATGATTTTTTTTAAAATATATCAAATTTACAGTTTCCCCACAACAACGTTAAACAAAACACATGATTTGATAGCTAAATAATATTAGGGGTGTTCAGATCTGGGTACCCGGGTTTTCGGATACCCGAAAGCTCGGGTACCTAGATCTTCGGGTAGTTTCAACCTCGGCCCATGCCCCAACCCGAGAACACCAGGTACCCGGGTTTCGAGTACCCGATATTCTCGGGTCGGGTCATAGGTACCCAAATTTATTAACTTTTCTTTTCTTTTCTTTTTTTTAACAAAAACTTACCATCTTTGTAGTTCATGTAAGTTACTATTATCAATATTTTGTAAAAAAATAAATTAAAATTACTGTATTAAGTTTTTGTATTCGTATCAGACTATATTTGAAAAAAAAATACACTTAGCTAAAATACAAAAAAAAAAAAAAAAAATTACAGGATATTTGTCATACTTTTAACTTAGACCATTAGCAAATATGAGTATCATTTACAAATGAACAACATCTTTAAATCTATCACTATCAAGTATCAATAATGTTGCTTTGTCCATCACGTTCGCTTCTGGCAACCTTTCAAATGCATCACCATGGAGGACCCTCGGCCGCCGTAGTAGGATCGGAGATCTCGTGGCCGCCATGGTTCAATTCGTTGGTTGAAGGCTTTCTCTCGCACGGTTGTGCCTTATTCTCTTGATGTTGGTTGTCAATTTGGTTATTTGCAATGGGTGTGTGCCTTATTCAATGAATGAGAGAGAAGAAGGGGAAGAAGGAGAAGAAGAGAAAGAAGAAGGGGAAGGGGGAAGCTGATGAAAGAGGCTGCTAAAGTGTTAAAGGGAACATAAAACCCTAATTCTTCATTTATACTAGTAGTAATTTTTTTTTTTTACAAAAAAATCCCTTAGCGGGTCAGCGGTTATATACCCGCCTAGTTGAAAGAGTGGCCTATGACCCGACCCGCTACACTTCCTTTTTACTGGGTCGGGTACGCGGCCCGTTAAATTTGAAAAAATATGAAAAATACCTGGCTACAATTTGTTGGGTCAGTGGGTCGGGTCAACCGCGTCTGGTTTTTTTGAACACCCCTAGATAGTATGCTGAAAAAATCAAAATCGTTTTCTTAATAGTTGGATGAAATAAATTTGTTACAAGTATCAAACTAGGAGTCACACATTTCATCTCCTTGTTGAAAATGTTCATCCATTTTTTCTTTTCCTTTTTTGTTTTAAAATCTTCATTAATTTTTTCTTAACTAAAAGTATTTTTCTTGCATTTTGACAATTACATTGTTTTCCATACATACTCGAATAGAATAATTTGATTCTTATATAAAGATTAATTAAATAATCAAAATTCGATATATTAATATTATGTTTTTTAAAATTAAATGAACAAAATCAATAACTATATACTAAAAGTGAAACTAGTAGTGACACATATAATCTCCTGGGTGATGAACATTTTCCAAGCATCTTTTTTTTTCCTTTCCTTTTTTTTTTGTTGTCAAATATTTATTAAGCCGGTCTCTGGTATGGCTGGCCACACCATGTGGCCAGCTGCCATATCAAAAATAACGGGATTCACTTCCCAAAAATAACGGAATTCAGTTGCCAAAATTAAGACTAATGCTGACAATAAAAAGCCCACATTTACACAAATCCCTAAACAAAAGCCGCCATTTACATCTAAAAATTTACAGATCTTTACAAAAATTTACACAAATTTTAACTTCTTCCAGACCTGCAAACTTGAAGCTTCCATCATCTTCTTCCAGACCTTCAAATTTGAAGCTTCCATGGCAGAATCATCAGAATATTTTCAACCTGAAGAATCAGAAAATTTTCAACCTATGTTAGAAATTTTTCCAGAGTCACAAGAAAGTATGGAGATCGAAGAAATAGGTGATTCATTAATGAATCTGGGTATAGATAACAGAAACAACAATGAATTACCAGGTAACAATCATCTGATTAACAAGTAATCATCTATTTCATACAAGTAACCCTTATTAAGTATAAAAGTAACCCCTATTTTTCTGTTAAATTAACCACTAGAAAATCAGGTACAACAGAAAAAACAGCTATCACACAGCATAATATTTAGGTAACCCCTATTACACATGCAGGTAACCTCTCTTACGTATAAAAGTAACACATGTAACCCCTATTGTCAAAACAAGTACCCACATAAAAAGTACCCCCTATTGTAGTTTAAAACAAGTAACACCCAGTATTCTATTCAAGTAACACCCAGTAACCCCTACTATACTATGCAAGTAACTCCAATTTAAAACAAGTAACACAGTATATTTTTAAGTAACACCCAATATACTATTCAAGTAATACAGGTAACCCCTACAATACTATGTAAGTAACCCCAATTTAAAAAAGTAATACCTAGTATTCTATTCAAGTAACACTTAGTATACTATTCAAGTAATATTGGTAACCCCTACAATAGTATGCAACAATGCAAGTATCCCCAATTTAAAACAAGTAACCCCCAATATTCTATTCAAGTAACACCCAGTATACTATTGAAGTAACACCCAGTAACCCCTAGTATACTATGCAAGTAACTCCAATATAAAACAAGTAACACAGTATATTTTTCAAGTAACACCCAGTATACTATTCAAGTAATACAAGTAACCCCTACTATACTATGTAAGTAACCCCATTTTAAACAAGTAATACCCACTATTCTATTCAAGTAACACACAGTAACCCCTACTATACTATTCAAGTAACACCCACTACTCTATTCAAGTAACACCCAGTACTCTATTCAAGTAACACCTAGTAACCCCTACTATACTATGCAATTATCCCCAATTTAAAATAAGTAACCCCCAGTATTCTATTCAAGTAACACCCAGTATACTATTGAAGTAACACCTAGTAACCCCTAGTATACTATGCAAGTAATTCCAATATAAAACAAGTAACACAGTATATTTTTCAAGTAACACCCAGTATACTATTCAAGTAATACAAGTAACCCTTACTATACTATGTAAGTAACCCCATTTTAAACAAGTAATACCCACTATTCTATTCAAGTAACACACAATAACCCCTACTATAATATGCAAGTAACTTCTACTATACACCCAGTAATTTATTAAGTAACACCTACAATATAAAACAAGTAACTCCTACAATATAAAGCAAATAACAACTAGAATATACAGCAAGTAACCCCTATAGCACTAAACAGGTAACCCATTCTATGAAAATTCAGTAACCAAACATATAATCAAACTTATTAATAGGTACCCTACATTATAACAACAAGTAACTCAAATAAACAACAAGAAGTAAACCTCACTGATTTGATTATTTTTTCTTACAGAATCAAGTAAAAGCACTATGACAGAAGAAAGTAAACATGATGACCAGCATGAATTGGACTACACTGGATGCCTTGTTGGCTTTACTGCAAAAACTTTGAATGAAATATATGAAGTATATCAAAAACATGCTTTTGCTATTGGATTTGGGGTAAGACAATCAACAACCAGATACACACAAGGAGAACCCAAAACCATCAAAGGGAAAGACTTTGTTTGTTCAAAGGAAGGATTCAGAGTTAAACCAAAAGTGAGAAAAACTCCACCTCCACCAAACCAAAAACAGAAGAGAGTGAAGCAAGTGCCTATTACTAGAACTAGCTGCAAAGCATTCATTAGAGCCAAAAAAATAGTGATGGTATGTTTGAAGTTGAAGAGCATATGATGAAACACAACCATGAACTAACAAGACCAGAATGGCAGCATTTACATAGATCAGAAAGAAAAATAACAAAAGAAAAAGCACAAGTTATAGACATGATGGCAGAAAGTGGATTAAAGCCAGCAAAATCTTATCGTCTAATGTCTCATGAAGCTGGTGGTGACAACGTGTTAGCACACACAATGAAAGATCACTTCAACTATATAACAAGGAAGAAAATGGAAGAAATTGAAGGAGGTGATGCACAGACAGTAATAGACAGGCTATACCAAAGACAAGAAAATGAACCTGGGTTCTTTTACAGATTCAAAGTAGGCGGTGGAGATAATTCAAGCAAACTTACAGAAATTTTTTGGAGGGACTCACAAATGAGAGAAGACTATAGCATTTATGGAGATGTAGTTGTTTTTGATACCACTTATAGAACGAACAAATATAACTTGATTTGTGCTCCAATAGTTGGTATCAACAATCATTGGTTGAATGTAATGTTCGAATGTGCATTTATTGCTGATGAAACAGCTGATACATTTGAGTGGTTGCTGCAAACTTTTAAGAAATCTATGGGTGGTACAACATATTTCTATATTTACAGACCAAGACCTGGCAATGTCAATAGCAATTCATAGGGTAAATGCTAATGTTTCTATTATATCACTGTAAAATACCTATGTCTATATTATATGACAAAACCTAACAAGTTAATATATGCAGGTATTCCCTGAATCAAGACATAGGCTTTGCATTTGGCACTTGATTAAGAATGCAGTGTCAAGGTTTGGAGCCCTAAAAAGAGACACAACTTTCAAGAATGCATTCAACAAGTGTTTATCTGGTTGTGTAACAATAGAAGAGTTTGAAACTTGCTGGGAAAATATGATTAAAACATACAAGCTTGAGAAAAATAGTTGGTTCAAAAGACTCTACAACCTAAGGGAGAAATGGTGCACAACTCTAAGCAAAGACTTCTTTTCAGCTGGTATACTCTCTTCTCAAAGAAGTGAGAGTACCAATAATGCTGTAGGTTTTAAAGCCACAAAAAACACAAGCTTGACAGATTTTTTCAAGATATTCAACCAGACAATAAAAAGATGGAGGCAAAATGAATCTGATGCAGATTTCAAATGCTCAAACTCTCATGCAACAGAAGTTTATACACAAACAATTTTCAGAGATTTTGAAACAGAATTTGCATACTCAATTGGGTGCATAACACTTCTTCATTTGGAAGCTCAAGGTTACTTCTTTTATGAAGTGCAGATAGAGAATGATGAAGCATCAAAACAGAAAGTTACATACAACTCAGCAGACAACAGTGTAGCATGTTCTTGCAAAATTTTTGAGGAAGTGGGGTGGTTATGTTATCATGCTATACGTGTACTACATCAACATTCTGTAACCAGAATACCAGAACAGTATATTACAACAAGGTGGACAAAGTTTGCAAAAACACATTTATGGAAACAAAGAGATAAACAGCAGAAGCAAATGCAAGAGTACTAGTAAAATACATTCCTTGGAGACAAATTATGGCAAGAAAAGGATACAATCTAATATTAACATGTCAGGAACACTCAGAGACAAGGAAGCTGGTAGAGGAAGAGTTTAAAAAAATTGAAACACACTCTGTTGAAATAAAAAGAAAACTGGAAAGGGTAACAATATGTTTCTCCCCAAACTATACATGTCAGGAACAATTAGAGACAAATTTAATTTTTTTTTCTTGGCAGGAACAAGAAGGCACAGAAGAAGGAGAAGTACAACAACAAAACAAAAATTCATCAACAGGAGAAAAAAGAAAGGAAACAGAAAATTAAATTCCTACAGTAATGGATCTAGACAGAGCAAACACAAAGGGAAGAAGCAAGAGAATAAAGGGGCATTTCGAGAAAGGAAAGAACACAAAAAAAACAAAAGCAATGCAAGCTAAAGGAGACACCAGAGAATTTGGAACAACCACACCGATTCAAAATCCAAAATTGTTTTAATAAAACACATATGTAGTTTTACTTTAATATATAAGTATGTAATGACATTTTTGCTTTAAGTAACCTTATTATGCTAAGTAATTAAACTCTAATATTATGCTAAGATCTCTTTTATGATATTTATTGTATACAAGTAACTTCTATTATACAGACTAGTAACACTGATTATTCTATACAAGTAACACCTATATAAACCATCAAGTAACCCAATAAATAAAATGAAGTAACCCCTATAATTCTATACAAGTAACACCTATATATACCATCAAGTAACCCAATAAATAAAATTAAGTAACCCTTATTATCCTATTCAAGTAACCCTTATTATCCTATGCAAGTAACACCTGTATATATACAATCAAGTAACCAAATAAAATAAAAAGAAGTAACCCCTTTATACTATATAAGTAACACCTATTATACTATACAAGTAATTACTCTAACAATAAATAAGTAACCCTTATTACATATCCAAAAAACCCCTAATATACTACAGAATTAACCACTTCTATATTATTATGTCATCAAAAAAGTAACCACTTTTAATTTAAAAAAAAAAAGCAATAAAGCAAAGTACACTAACAAATATTCACATATATCAATTTAACACAATTTGGACAAAATAAAGAAACATTATATATTTAGTTCAAAAGAATACCTTTAAAGAATCTGTTGAAAAACTTCTTACTTTCGACGAGATTGGAGCTTTGATTGACTTGCTGCTTTGACCTTTGACAACTTTGCCTTAGTTGCCTTAGTTTCTGCCATAATTGATGCCAGTGATGCTTCTTCATTTGCCTTGTTTTTTTATTCTTCTTTAGGCAACTTTTTTGTTCCTTTTTCTTCATCAACTTTTTTTTTGGCTAGTTTCTTAACCAACTTTTCCTTTTCTTTTTCTTCATTTTCTTTCTGTTTTGCTTCTTTTTTGGCCAATTTCTCTTTAGCCTTTTGTTCCTTTTCAGCTTTAGCCAAGGCAAGAAGCTCTTCTTTAATAACCTCTTCATTAATTAGTACTTCATCATAAATTGCATCATGGTTGGCTAGAAAAACTTTAACCTTCTCCAGAACATCTAGCCGTAATTGATTCAAATTACATAGGACCAATGATGCACAAATTTCAGCTCTGTAACGAAGACGATTAGATGACTGCAATGCCAACAAAGAAAACAATATAAACAATATACCCCAAATAAGAAAAACACAAAATTTTAATAATTATATCAAAATGACCATGCAATACCTTTGTCAATTTTTTACAATCAAATTCTTCGCCTTCGTATACAGAACAATGATATAAACAGAAAACCTCACAATCATTGTTATTTGAACACTGTTGTGAATCAATTGGAATCATTCTAATAGGGAAGTTGTTGACAAGTTCCCCTTGATCATGATTCTTAAAAACCAGATACTTTGAAAAGTAGTATCTCTGAAATAAACAATATAAAAGGTCAGTTAAACAACGAAGTATGAATAAACAAATCTATAATGCTTAATTAATAAACTTACCAAATACCAAACAAGAGTATAATAACATGTATGATGTTCATCAAAAGTCCTGGTGATATTCCTTCCAACTCCCAAGAAATACCTTCTGTTGTCGAGATAATCAACAGAGTTATTGATGAAGTTTATCACAACAACAGAATAATGATCGAAATAGTAGATGGGAATAAAAATCTGCATAAAAGAAACATTAAATTAATGACTAATGATATGAAAACAAGTAATAATAAATAAACCCCTATATATAACATCAATTAACACCAATAAATTACAGGAAATAACCCATGTATATACCAACAACTAACCCCTGTATATACCAACAAATAAGCCCAATAAATAAGAAGTAACCCTAATAAATATCAAGTAACCCCTTATATACCATCAAGTAACCCCTATAAATAATAGAAGTAACCTCTATACATACCAACAACTAAGTCACTTTTATCACAAGAAAAACCCATATAAATCATAAGAAGTAACCCTAATACATAACAAGAAGTAATACTATCAAGTAATCCTATATACTAATATCAAGTAACCACAATTAAGCAAGCACAGTAAACAACATCAAGTAACCATTATACATAATATCAAGTAATGTAAATATGCTATCTAGTAACTTGCAATCATAAAATTAAATGACATACCAGCTTTGCATCAAAAAATGCAATAGTTTTAACAGCATCAAGCCATTGATCCCATGCCCCGAAAATTTCTTGTTCAAAGGAGCATCCTTCTCCATTGAATATACAGCGCAAAAGAGGTAACTGAACAAATAGAAATAAGTTAAAATGAAAGATAAAATATTAAAAAATATAACAAAATTCAACAAAGCATAACATTGAAATTACCATATATTCACCACCAAAATATAACTTGGCAACAGTTGCTGTTTTTTGACACTGAAGATAATTCATCAACACAAAAAAACAGTCCATAACCCGACTTGAAATAAGCTCTTCCTCAATCAATGTCATTAATTCTTCACGCGGCAAATTATAAAATTAAAAAAAAAACACCGAAACAGAATTCAAAATAACTATTTAATAAGAAAAATTCAAAAAAAATCTATATATTCACTTATAGATCCCTAAAACTTACATCATATCAACACCTTCATAGTTGTCACCAAAGCAATAATCAGCAACTTGAAGCCTTAAACTCTTCATCCTCTTAGCTTTTGGATTATAAACTCTCAAAAACCTTGATATTAACTGTAAAGAATAACCTCCAGCCGCACCACAATCAATATCACATATTAAATGATCTTCAGAACTATTACTACATTCATTATCTTTAGAAGACTCCTCACCATCACTTAAACAATCAGAATGCAGAACTTTCAACTTTGAAAAAGACAGAAGCATTTCCTTTGTTCCTTTCTTTTCTGTTTTCCCAACATCCTACTTCTTAGAAGAAACCATCCCTACTTGTTCTTTCTCAGAAGAAGACTTCTCAGAAACATCAGCAAGAGGAGCATGAACAGAGGGTACGCCAACAACAACAATCTCTGGTTGCTTCTCTGAACAACCTTCAGCATTAGGCTCAACAAGTTTCAATATATCATTCACAACTAAATTGGGATCAACACCCAAACTCATATCAATATCTGGAACTGGTTGAGCACTAATTTCAGTAAAAATGTCCTTGTTCAGACCCAGTATTGGCGATATAGGCATCTCCAGATCAGGATTAGTATAAGAAAACAGAGTAAAAGAAGGCAATTCATCTTCTAACTTCTTCATTGCAATAGCATGATTTGTTATCTTGTCAATTTGATCCCAAAACGACAAATCATTAAAGATTGAATCCAACTGACTTAAAGCAAGAGACCTTTCGTTTTCTGGAAGCTTTGAATCAATTTGAACAGCTTCAGATTGTAGCCTTACAGACTGAATATGTTGTTCAAATTGGTGAGAAAATAGCTTTAAATCTCTTTTGATCAGCATGTACTTCTCTTCAACATCCTAAAATCATTTAAAGTAAAAGAATTTAATCAACATATATACCAGCAATGAACCCCTATATATATCATCAATTAATCACAGTATATATAATCAAGTAACACCAATACATGTCATCAAGTAACCTCAATACATACCAACAAGTATCCCATGAATGTCTCATCAATTAACCCCCATATATCAAACCAAGTAACACCTATAGAAGTCATCAAGTAACCCAAATATAAGACAGCAAGTAACCCATAAATGTTTTATCAATTAACCCCCATATATAATGACAATTAACAACTATACATGTCTTCAAGTAATCCTATATAAGAATCAAGTAACCCCTAAAACACCATCAAGTAACCATAAATATATACCAGCAAGTAACATCTATACATGTCATAAGTAACCCCTAAATATAACAGTAAGTAACCCATAAATAATTCATCAAGTAATCCCCATGTATAAATGCACATATATAATTTCAAGTAACACCTATAAAAGAAAGTAACCACAGTTTATAAAAGCAAGTAACCCCTATATATGGCATCAAGTAACAACAAATATAATCAACAAGTAACCCCTATATATGGCATCAAGTAACCCCTAACACACCATCAGGTAACCCTTATAGTACAAATATAACAGTAAGTAACCCATAAATAATTCATCAAGTAATCCCCATGTATAAATGCACATATATAATTTCAAGTAACACCTATAAAAGAAAGTAACCACAGTTTATAAAATCAAGTAACCCCTATATATGGCATCAAGTAACAACAAATATAATCAACAAGTAACCCCTATATATGGCATCAAGTAACAACAAATATAATCAACAAGTAACCCCTATATATGGCATGAAGTAACCCCTAACCTACCATCAGGTAACCCTTATAGTACAAATTACAGCTATATATATACATATTTATCATAAAAGGAAAAAACATAAAAAATATGCTAAAATGATAACAAACTAAAGTATTTTGTTTGTAAAAGAAAAATTGATAAATGATAATGATTAAAAAAGAGTACTCACATTCTTTCCTAGCAT